CATACTGGCCCAGCTTCTTGACTCGGTACCAGGTTATCTGGGAGTCCTTCCAGAACTGGAATGCCTAGTTCAAAATCATGAAAATCAGGTTCTGAGTGTTCAGCTTGTGATGACTCATCATCATTTGTGTGTGAGTTTACCCCCCCTTCGTCCGATGAGGGGTTGTTGGAGGCAACGACAGCAATGTCTTGGTGTGTTTCACTGACATCTGTAATGTTGTCATTCACGCCTTCAGATTTAGTAGCGATCACCTCACTACACAGCGTTCCAGGTTGGATTCCCATTTCAGCGTTTTTCAAAGTTTCTAAAAACCTTTGTAGTTTCTCTGTCTCTTCCGAGCTCAGAGGTGTAGGGCCTTGTTCCTGGGACCTTTGTGATTTTATCGCCTCGGTTCGTTTCGACCGAGGTGGGGGAGGGTTAGGTACGTCTTTTGGGGGTTCCTCTTCGGACTTCCCCTGATAATATGGGTCCTCTTGGATCCCATATCTTTGCGTCCTACGCACACCCCATTTACGATAATCACGTCCATCCTCTGAAAGAGGAGCTTTCCTGTCCCAGAGTGCACCTTCATTACGTGGTTTGTTAGTTTGAAAATACTGCTTTTTCTCGCCTGTTTTAGGAGGTGGCGGCGATGCACTCCGTCCTTCCATTTCTAGGGAGTGGGGTTTAACCTTTACACCAGGAAACACTTCTATGGGCGTCTTAGCATGAGAACATGCCTCGAACACATTCACAGCACACTGTTGCATGTTTGGTGGAGGAGACCTGTTCAGGTCTGTTCCTACCACTTTAGGTGAGGGTGGAGGTTTTTCTCTCCACACATGTGGAGGTGCAACAACATCTTTCTGAGGTGGTTGTGGGTGACCTGGACTCTGTCCACGGTCTTCTCTGAGTTCCAGACAAACTCGCCCCACGTCAGAACTTTTATATGTTGCCGCGGCCAGTTTCTCCTCACAAGCTTTTAAGCGTTCCTGTGATGTTTGACATTCACTTTGTAAACGCATATATTGTTCGAGTACTGCCTCTTTTAACAGTCTGCATTTGTGCAGATCTTTTTTAAGCACATCTATCTCCGTTTTGCAGCGGGAAACTTGTGACACTGTCACGACGTGATCCCGTCTCAATGCAAAGTATGATTCTTTCAGCAACATTGCCATTTTAGCCAGCTTTTCATAGCTTGACATTGTAATTTCTGTAGAGGTCACACTCTCTGCAACCTCCATCAGATTGTCCACTAACTCTTTTGGGTTCATGCTGTTCACCTGTTTATCATATGGATGTAAGGATCCTGTCAGCAGTGCTAACGCATCCTCTAAACAGTCCTTCATCTCATAAGGATCAAAATCTTTTTCTATCACACCTGTCATGGTATTCACTGTGTAGCACTTTATCTGGTTAAAACAGTTGCCAGCTTCAGATTATTTTACAGGTAAATATTTGTATTCAAGTGTCATTGAGTTTCACACTATTTTAAGCTCTGGGTTTACACAAAAGTACTGTTATAAGTCAACTTATTCAGAGGAATAGGCACCTGTCTCGTAGGTTTTACCCCAATTCATGAATATTTAAGTAAATGCTTCTCTGCAGTGTTACTTTTATGTGCTTATTTTTTAACAGATACTAGATTACCAAGCCTCTCAGTGTTTTTTACTCTAAAGCACTGAATTTTTATAAACCTGCAATTTTTCTAAAAAGTCTCACAGCAACATCAGTTTAAAAACGCTTTTTTTTAAGCCGTTCTATTCCAGAAGTTCGCTATTTTAACAGTTACTCATCAACCCAGGTTGGGTGAAAAGAGAAAAGAAAATTGATGATGAGGAATAATCAGTCTTTCTTCAGAAAAACTGTTATACTTCTCTTCTCCTGCCAATCAGGAAGAACTTGAATGAAATGTCTCCAAGAATTCAACGTATGATGATGAAAATTCAGAGATATGATTTCAAATTGATATACACACCAGGGAAACACCTCATCATGGCTGGTGCACTCTCACGAGCACCCCTTGAGGATACTGTGAGTACTTCTGCAGATGATGTGGAAAGCTATGTAAACATGGTGTGTGCAGCTTTGCCTGTGTCTAATGCAAAATTCAGACAAATAGTAGCTGAAACAGCAGCAGATGCAGTGCTACAGCATGTAATCGATCAAATGGAAAATGGATGGCCAGCAGGATCCAGTCCATTGTTCTACAACATCAGAGGTGAGTTAAGCCATATGGATGGACTTTTGTTGAAGCAAAATAGAATTGTCATTCCACAAAGCTTATGGCAAGACATTCTGCATAGAATACATGGTGGTCATCTTGGTGTTGAAAAATGCAAAAGAAGGGCGAGAGAAACAGTTTTTTGGCCAGGAATAAACAGAGACATTGAAAGAGTGATAGGAGCATGTGAAACATGTCAAAAATACAGAAACAAGCAAAATAAAGAGCCCATGATCATTGCAGACATGCCAGTGGCACCTTGGCATAAAGTAGGGATGGACTTGTTTCATTTAAAAGGCAAAGATTATTTAGTTGTCATTGACTATTACTCTAGCTTTCCTGAGATGTCATTACTGTCAAGTATTTCATCAACCTGTGTGATTACACATGCAAAATCCATTTTTGCCAGGCATGGCATTCCGTACAAAGTTGTAAGTGATAATGGACCATGCTTTGATAGCAAGGAGTGGAAGAGGTTTGCAGACAATTATGGATTTGAGCACATCACATCAAGCCCGCTCTATCCCCAGTCAAACGGGAAGGCTGAAAAAGGAGTACACATTCTTAAACAGCTATTAAAGAAAGCAGCTGACAGTGGTTCAGATCCTTATCTTGCTTTGCTCAGTTATCGAGCATCACCGCTGGAATGTGGACTGTCACCAGGAGAACTGTTAATGAACAGAGAACTGAGAACCACATTACCATGTTACATAAAAGAGAGGAAGCTTCCAAAACTGCAGCAAAAGCTAAGATCCCTAAAAATAAAACAAAAAGATGTATATGAAAAAAGAGCCAAGCATCTTCCGCTTCTCACCAGCAAAGACACTGTCAGGATTCAAGATCGTACTGGATGGATGACTAAAGCTACTGTTCTTCAAGAAGTTGCACCTCGATCTTTCACAGTAAGAACTGAGGAAGGACAAATCTTCAGACGTAACAAACGCAGTTTGCTTAAAACACAGGAAACTGTTAAAGAAACAGATGGAGCAGATGATACATCTGGAGAAGACAACAAATCAGTTTCTCCATCCAAATCTGTCTCTCAATCTTCTTCAAACACCAACATAGGGCTCCCTAATGAACCTGCTTTAAGAAGATATACAAGACAGATTAAAAAACCTCAAAGGCTGAACTATAATTAAAAAAATTATTTATTATATTTGTTATATTATTTGTTACATTTCTTTGCTATTTTACCAGTGGTTGAAGGGTTAATAAACTTGTTACTTTAAGATCTAGTTATTGTAAATGTATAGAATGCTGTACTTTAAAGAAAGGAGGATGTAATGATATAACTTTCAATATCAATTTTAGCCACTAGATGTCAGTATTCTTGGTTTCATGGTAAAACTAGGATGTATATAAGTAGAGGAAGAAATGATTGTGACAGAGGTGGCAAACAAAATAAAGTGGTGTTGCATACAGAAACAGTCGGCCTCCTTCTTGTTCTCAACGGAACACAACACTAAGGTTAATGTGGAGGGTATTTTGAAAAATTGTAGGTTGCGCTTTTGAGCCGTTTCTGTTGCGATTTTTGCTATGCCCTTAAAATACGTAATTTTTCACCAGTCCTTATGCGTTGGCCAAATTTGGTGTCTTTCGGGATATGTTAAGGGCCCCAAAATGCCAATTCATTTGGCGGAAAAAATTGCAGCTCGGGCTTGAACAGAGCTATTACAATAGGCCTTAGCAGCGCTTTGCTGCTCGGGTCTAAAAAACAAGCTACATTATAAAGTGATGTAAAATACTAAAAACAGGAACATGTCTGCGTTGGTTTTTGCCATGAACTTAGTTGTTTCAAGCCACTTAGAGAGGTCAAGATCGAGAGCTTCAGAACTTTTAGCAAGGTGTTCTAGGATACAAGAGCAGAGTAGGAGAAGGCCCTTTTGTCTAGTTCAGCCCGCACTGAGAGAACACTGCAGGTAATAATGTCCTGAGAGCGCACGCTGTAGCTGCACTCACTCAGAGATATATAGGAGGAGATGTATGAAGGCAGCAGACCAAGAAGTGATTTAAAGATGAAAATGTACCAGTGAGAGAGTCTGTGTGAAGTTAATGATGTCCAGTTAACCAGTGAATACTGGGTGCAGTGGTGGGTACGGTAGTTACAGCCAGTTATGAATCTTAGTGCACCATGATAGACAGCATCCAACATCTGCAGGGTGCTTGTAGGCGTGTTCATGTAGATAATGTCACTGTAGTCAATGGAGGGAAGGAAACTAGCAGTTATAAAGTTTTTCCTAGCATTCAGTGTTAGACAGGATCTGTTTCTGAAAAAGAAACCCAATTTTAATTTCAATTTCTTTATCAAGTTTTCGACACGAGGCTTAAAAGAGAGATGTGCATTGACAAAGATTCCCAAGTATTTGTAAGAATCAACAAACTCAATAGGAACACCATTTGAAGATAAAATCAAAGGAAGGATTGCCGGAACCGACTTCCTGTTGGTAAACAACATCCCTTTGTTTTTTGTCAAGCATTTAGCACCAGTTTGAGACAGAACAAATCTGACTGGGTGATGTCAAAAGCAGACTGTAAAAACTGGAAAACCTTAGCAATGATGTACTCATTTGAACATAACTTTTTCTTTTTACTTTTACTTTGTGAACAGTTTTGTACTACTTTGTGTTAGTTTGTCGCATAGTACCCCTGTAAAATACTTTTGTACATCTTTGGTTGTATTGTACCAAAACATGGACATGTTCAAATACTTTGTCAAGGTTCTGTATAATGTGTGCACATTACAATTTCAGCTGGGTCAGATCACTAACTGTTTGTCCATCCCCTGTTTACCTAGTGGGTGATGGGTTTGCTGTTCTTCCTGTTTCCTGGCATGTCGTCACGGTTACGGTCCATGTACCTCCCGATCCACATGTTCTGTGGTTTGACCCTGCTGCTCATGGCCATTGGAACCAGCCTGCTGGGCATCACAGAAAAGCTCCTCTTCAGCATCACGTATGTCTGGACTGTTGTGGACCTTTGTTCGCATGATACCGCTAAGTGCATTGTTTAGTTTTAGAAGGAAGTGAGCTTTAGGATTAGTTCAAACATGACAAAATATTATTTTACACAATAGTGTGAATGTTTTCATCATTCTCACTGCTGAGGTCTGATTTTCTTCTGTATGTTTTCCAGCACGTAACACTTTCTGCAATGTCTACTATTTTAACAACTCATATACGAAAACATGCATCTCATTCAGGACATTCCTGCTGTTACTTCTGGTGTTGGTGCACTTTTAACTTTTTAAATAGGTTTTCAACCATGTTTTCCTTATTGAAAATGAATGGGGCTCGCTTCAGATCATTCATCCCTTTAGCTGTTTACAAACTTTTACTGCTCATTTCGGTTTTTGTTCTGGTTCAGCTTTTTTTTTAGCTTCTTTGCTTTCATTTCAGCTCTCTTTAGCTGCTTTCAGCTTCCTTCTGTTCATTTCAGCTTCCTTCTGTTCATTTCAGCTTCCTTCATCTCCTTTCAGCTTCATTCTGTTCATTTCAGC